TCCTGATGTAGTGGGCAGCAGAGGGGACTGTATTTCCTCAGGGTGAGGTCTTATTGTATGTGTTGGGGTACATACACAGAGAGGGGGTGTGTTGATTCTGAGCAATAAACAACATATTTTTAACATTCAGGACTGACTTCTAAAGACTCTTGATACATGAGGAAGAACCCCGGAAGAAAAAGAGGAAAAGCAAAGGAGTCAGGGATGGCTCTTCCTCAGGTGAGATGATCTTCTCGGTGGATTGTTCTGTCTCCTTCCTTTCAGAAATGCTGGGCCTTAGAGTTGGGAATCTTCTCTGAGTCTGAAGCGTCCTGCCTGCCAGGTTTGCTGGCACTCACCCATGCCTTCCCTCAGTCCCTCTCATGTCAACTAGATTCCATCCCTGGTGCCCCAGTGACAGGAGCATGGGAAGAGGCTGCACTGGGCATGGTCCTGGGAAGGGCTCACCCCAGATGTGGATGAAGACGGGGTGTGGGCCCCGTGGTGTCAGGGCTGCTGGGCAGCAGGGATTGTTCAGGGGCCACATCTGATGCACCATCAGCTCTCTGTAGACCAGGAGCAGAGCAGCTGCCCGTGGACACTACATATTAATGTGCACAAAGTACGTGGGAAATTCTAGGAAAGGAGACCAATAAGGGGAGGTCTTTTCTGCCTGATTTTGTGCTACATGTTGAGGTAATTGAGTCAGTTTCTGTGTTTCTGACTCCAAACATCTCACTGATTATAATGGAGCGTTAATACACAGACATGAATGATACAAGGTGTTTTATTCCATTAGTTTAAGTAAGTGAAACCAACCCAAATCATAGCAGGAGATTCATTAAACATTCTTTTTTATTTATTTTTGTTTTTGCCAATCAGTTTGAGCTTATGAGGTTGCTCAGGTTAGCCTTGAACTGATGACGTCGCCTTCGTGAGCACCATGACCTCCCGCGGGAGCCACTTTGGACCCCTAAGCATTCTTTTTTTTATCCCAAGATACACAAAGACTCAAAGAGATGGAGAAAGATTTACCAACCAAATGGAGAGCAAAAATAAATAAACAAACAAACAAATAAATAAATAAATAAAAAGCAGGAGTTGCAATTCTCGCATCTGAAAAAATAGATTTCAAAGCAACAAACATATAGTGGTAAAAGGATCAGTGCAACAATAAGAGCTAACAATACCAACACCCAGATACTAAGACTCATAAAGAGATTTAGACTCAACGAGACAGAAAATTAATAAGGACATCAAGGACTTGAACTCAGATCCAGAACAAGTAAACTTAATAAATATTTATTGAGCTCTCCACTTTGAATACACAAAACATATATTCTCCACCTTAAATACACAAAATATTGATCAGCCATTATTAATATAATACCAATTTTTAGAATAAAGCAACATTCTCGTTCTCTCTCCGTTTCTTCCTCTTTCTTCCTTTTCCTTCCTCTCCTTTACTCTCTTTTTTTTACTTTCTTTAAAAAAAAAACACATTCTTTTTTCTTTTGAGACAAACTTTCGCTCTCGTTACCCAGACTGGAGTGCAATGGCGCAATCTCGGCTCACCACAACCTCCGCCTCCTGGGTTCAGGCAATTCTCCTGCCTCAGCCTCCTGAGTAGCTGGGATTACAGGCACGCGCAACCATACCGACCTAATTTTTGGAATTTTAGTAGAGACAGGCTTTCACCATGTTGACCAGGATGGTCTTGATCTTTTGACCTCGTGATCCACCTGCCTCTGCCTCCCAAAGTGCTGGGATTACAGGCGTGAGCCACCGCGCCTGGCTTTGTTTTCTTTATTTCTTGAGATGGAGTCTCAGTCAGGCACGGTGGATCATGCCTGTAATCCCAACACTTTGGGAGGCCAAGGCAGGGGGATCATGACGTCAGGATTTCGAGACCAGCCTGGCCAAGACAGTGAAACCTTGTCTCTACTAAAAATACAAAAATTAGAAACAACAACAACAAAAAATACAAAATTTAGCCAGGTGCTGTGGCGGGCGTTTGTAATTCCAGCTATTTGGGAGGATGAGGCAGCAGAATCTCTTGACACTGGGAGATGGAGATTGTAGTGAGCCGAGATCGTGCCATTGCACTCCAGCCTGGGAGAGAGACTGAGATTCCGTCTCAATAAAAATAGAGATGGAGTCTCACTTTTTCACCCAGGCGGAAGTACACTGGTGCAGTCTTGATTCACTGAAACCTTTGCCTTCTACGTTCAAGTGATCCTTGTGCTTCAGCCTCTTGAGTTGCTGGGACTATAGGTGTGGGCCACCAGGCCTGGCAAATGTTTGTAATCATTTCATATCTTCTCAGTGCTATGATTGTTTGACAATACAAAATTTTTGGCTGGGTGTGGTGGCTCAAGCCTATAATCCCGGCACGTTGGGATGCCAAGGTGGGTGGATCATGAGGTCAAGAGATCGAGACCATCTTGGTGAACATAGTGAAACCCCGTCTCTACGAAAAATACAAAAATTAGCTGGGCATGATGGCTTGTGCCTGTAGTCCCAGCTACCCAGGAGGCTGAGGCAGGAGAATTGCCTGAACCCAGGAGGCAGAGGTTGCGGTGAGCCGAGATGACGCCATTGCACTCCAGCCTGGGTAACAAGAGCAAAACTCCGTCTCAAAAAGAGAAAGAAAGTTTTAAGCTTTTAACCAGTCTGGTTTCGTTTAAATTGTGAGGTCCATCTCCAGCCAATAGAGGCAGTGATAGAAGCACAATGCATTAGGATAAAAGGCCCTCCTCTCCTTGTTCAGTGTGCTCCCCTGGCAATTAGGTTTAGAGGCAGCACCTTTCTACACAGGTAAAATTGCCTTGCTGAGAACTTCTTGGAGTGATTGTTTCCTTTGAGACTTCATACTTTTTCTACTAACAAACCTTAACATCTCTATTTTGAAACACTGATCCCATTCATTTGGAGTTGATGCTTCCAGGTGGCTATCTTCAAGCTTCATGTTCATGTAAACTCTATACTTAATTATTGGTTCTAAACTTTATTATTTACTTCTAACATCAGTTTCTGTCAGAATGTAGGAGTCTTACCAGAGAGGGCACCTATTGCCATGTTGTGAAACTCACATTTCTCAAAAAGAAAAAAATTGGTTTGGATTTTTCCCTTTCCCTCTGGATGAAGCCAATGAGCTGACACAGACGGTCACCTCCATTACCAAGTAGAGCCAGGATGAACATGTGTGACCAGGGGTGTTAAGTCCTCTTACCTGAGGACTTATTAGTGTTTATCTGCATAACATGTACTTAATGGGTTGTGTAGAACAGTGAAGTTTCTTTCCCTCTTTTCAGTCTCTTAGCTCTTTGCCTCTATTACCCATCACATTATGGTCTAAGGCTTATCTATTAGTAAAATGTTTTTTTTATTATATCTATTGTTGCGGAGATGATTTCTCATTTTGGGGAAGATATTTTTGTTTTCAATTATATTGTCTCAACATTCAAAAAGTGAAGTAAAGAGTATTTCTTGGATCAGGCGTGGTGGCTCACGCCTGTAATCCCAGCACTTTACGAGTCTGACCAGGCAGATCACTTGAAGTCAGGAATTCTAGACCAGCTGGGCCAACGTGGTGAAACCTCGTCTTTACCAAAAGTACACAAATTAGGCATGGTGGTACGCGCCTGTAATGCCAGCTACTCCAAAAGCTGAGGTAGGAAAATGGCTTCAAGCAGGGAGGAAGAAGTTACAGTGAGCCAAGATCGTGCCATTTCACTCCAGCCTGGGCAACAGAGTGAGACTCCATCTCAGAAAAATAGAAAAGAAAAAAGTAAATTTCAAAAAGAGAAGAGGGCCGGGCGCGGTGGCTCAAGCCTGTAATCCCAGCACTTTGGGAGGCCGGGGCAGGTGGATCATGAGGTCAAGAGATCGAGACCATCCTGGTCAACATGGTGAAACCCTGTCTCTACTAAAAATACAACAAATTAGCTGGGCATGGTGGTGCGTGCCTGTAATCCCAGCTACTCAGCAGGCTGAGGCAGGAGAATTGCCTGAACCTAGGAGGCAGAGGTTGCGGTGAGCCGAGATCACGCCATTGCACTCCAGCCTGGGTAACAAGAGCGAAACTCCATCTCAAAAAAAAAAAAAGATTTGTTTACACAGGTAAGAAAGAAAAAAAGAAGTAAAAGATCTCTTCCACAAATTTGCTGAGACAACACGGAAAAAAATAATGTTGAATCCTTGTATCACACGATTAAACATTTTATTTTTAAAATTCAAAACATAATGAGAGAGAGAAGAGAAATAGAGTGAGGCGGAAGGGGATGTTACTGTGTCGCCCAGGTTTGTCTGGACACCCAGGCTGTGCGTTTCTCCTGAGTAGCTGAGTAGTCTCTCCTGGACATCTCAGGCTGAGCGACACTTCCTGAGTAGCTGAGACCTCCCGCCCTTGCTCCCGTATCCCCGCTGTGTTCAAGCAGCAGGTGGAGACCCCACTACTCCCGGGCCTGAGCATTCCTCCTGCATCCAGGCGGTGGCGTTAGGGAAGTCTCTGAAGCTGAGCACAGGGTGGACTCTACCTCTTGAGCGATTGGGGAATAGAAAGGGTGAGGATTTCTATTCTGTTCTGTGGGCTGTCAGCATGAACTTGTACCTTCCGCTTAGGCAGAGCTTTGCATTTCACATTGTAGTTTGCATCCCCGTTGCAGAGAATACCAGGGCTTTTGAATGATCCCTCGGGCTTCCTGGCAAATCTGGCCTCCCAAACTTGAAAAACGGAGGCGCTGAGAGCGAGGCTGCGAAACTCACAGGTGTCGGCCGGCCCCGCCCTCTCCCAGTTTTGAATAACAAGTTCTCTCCTCCACGAGCCCCGCCCCTACCTCGCCCAGGCCACGCCCACCTCTTGTCGGGGTCTCCAGGCCCCGCCCCTACCTCGCACAGGCCCCGCCTAGCCCCCCCTCGAGCCGCCCAAGCACCGCCCACATCCCTTCGGGGCCTCTCAGGCCCCGCCCCTACATCACTCAGGCCCCGCCCGCCCCACCTCGGGCCGCCGAGGACCCGCCTACCTTCCTTCGGGGCCGCCCAGGCCCCGCCCCTACCTCACACAGGCCCTACCGGCCCCCGTAGAGCCGCCCAGGCCTGGCTTCCGTCATGCGCACTCAGGTTCGTGCAAACTTGGAAGCGGATCCCGTGGAGGGAACGTCCCACCGTTTGCTCGTGAGTTTCACCCTGTCTTGAATTGAGTCTCCGTTTCCCAAGTCCCAGGCGCTTCTATACGTGGGTCGTCGGGTCCCCACAGACCTGGAAATTCTCGCCCATCTTTCTTCACCCGGAGGAAATTGAGACGTTTCCACGAGAGTCCCGGGGTCGCTTCCTTTTGGGTTTAAAGTCGCTCTCAGGCTGGTCCCGTCCCCAGTTTTTCCTGTTATACGGCACTGTATACATTTCCTATGGCGTAGTTCTGCTCAGAACCTTTTTCTGACTCCTCCCGCCCCGCGCTTCTTTTTGAAGTCCTCCCCTGAGGACTGGATTCCCGTCCTGGGCGCCTCCCACCCTCGCCTTCCTCGGCCCCGGTCCCGGGGAGGCCGCGTGCTCTGCCTGGTCCTGGGATCCTGCAGACCCCACCGTTTCCTGAGGCGCCGTCCCCACACCTCCCTCCTCGTGAGGGTGTTAAAACGCGCGCTTTGAATGAAGAGAGCCCCAGAACAGGCTTTGTGTGGGAAACATGGCTGTTTATTCACCTGGGGGCAGTTGGGCTAAAGCCGAAAAGGCCCTTAATGAAGAGCAATGGGATAGGAGTTGGTTTTACAGGTTGAGGCAAATCTTTTAGGGAGGGGACGGCGTCCTACGGAGTAAGATCAGTTACAGTGGTGGGGGAAGGGGCAAGGAATATACATTACTGTAAGTTCAGTTACAATGGCGGTGGAGTAAGGCGGAAGAGTAGTTAAGATGGCGGGGCGGGGTGAGGAGTAGTCACATTATCACAATAAGAGTTAAGATGACAGGGTAGGGTGAGCCATCTTAACGGGGGAAGCTCCGCTGGGCTATCAGGGATAATGGCGAAGCCAGGCGGGGAATTGGGGGTGATCAGCCAAGGCAGGCAGGATTTCAGACCTTCTGGGTCCGGGCTTGCACATGGAGGTTTGACAGAGGGCCCTACTGCTCCCCAGGTCTCCCCTCCGGAGTCACCTCTTACCCTGATCCCGCTTTGGGGAGATGCCTGGGGCCTGCCCTGTGACATGGGATGTTCTTGCCTGCCCAGCTCCAGCCCCTGTAAAAAGGCACTTCTCCAGAGGCCGGCGTCTTACTCCAAACCCTCCTGTGATTGTGTGGGCCAAAGACATCAGGAGACAGAGCAGCAGAAAACCTGAGATCGAGAAACAAGGATGAGGAAGACCCATAACAGATGGCAAAGTAGAGGATGGGTGAAGGATTTGCCAACAGACAGCAGAAGTGAAAAAAACAAAAGAGCAGGAGGGGAAAAGAACTGGAGAAATGTAGAGAAAAGGGAGATGTACAGAGAGATGAAGGACAGCAAGGCAGGGATGGGGCAGCAAAGAGGGAGGCTCATGAGTGAGGGAGAAGAGGAGGGACTTGGAGCCGGGGCAGACAGAGCAGAGTGGTGCTGGTGGCAAGGAGAACAGAGGGAGCCACAGCAGGGAGGACACCTGGGGATGTGGGGAGCCAGAGAGTGGGGACAAGAGTGTAACAGGGAAGAGAGAATTTAACAGGGAGAGCAGAGGAGGCACAGAGAGGGGAGAAGAGGCAGAAATAGATAGAGATTAAGACCGATTAAAAGATTGGAGAGAAGGAGCAACAAGAGGTTAAGTAAGTTGTGAGGATGGAGAAGAGGTGGAAGAGAAGGAATAGAGGGGAGAAGGGGATCAACAGCAGGGGAGGAGAGGGGTGCAAAGTGAGGAGCAGAACCCCTGGGAAAAAAAGAAAACAAGAGGTAGAGGCCGGGCGTGGTGGATCACACCTGTAATCCCAGCACTTTGGGAGGCCAAGGCGGGTGGATCACCTGAGGTTGAGAGTTCAAGACCAGCCTGACCAACATGGAGAAACCTGTCTCTACTAAAAATACAAAATTAGCTGGCTGTGGTGGCTCATGCTACTACAGAGGCTGAGGCAGGAAAATTGCTTGAACCTGGGAGGCAGAGGTTGCAAAGAAAAAAAAGCTAAAGAGAGAAGGGGAAAATAAAGAGATGTACAGAGTTAAGGAGGGAAGCAGAGTAATGAAGAAAGAGGGGCTGGGTGCAGTGACTCCTGCCTGCAATCCCCGCACTTTAGGAGACTGAGGCAAGGGGATCACTTTGAGTGCAGGAGTTGGAGACCAGCCTGGGCAACACAGTGAGACCCCCATCTCTGACACACACACTGGGCATGGTGGTGCACATTTGTATTCCCAGCTTCTCTGGAGGCCGAGGCAGGAGAATCACTTGAGCCCAGGAGGTCCAGGCTGCAGTGAGCTGAGATCATGCCACTGCACTCCAGCCTGGTCAACAGACTTAGAGCCTGTCTCAGAAGAAAAGGGGTGGGGGTGGAGGATTTGGGGTTCAGGTGAGTGGATGAATTCATTGGATATAATTAGTTGTGACATGTTGACTTCATAAGTTATACTATCTAATAACTTAGAACTTTAGAGGTTATACAGATGAGATTGAGAATGTATAAATTCCTATCTCTAAGACATGTACATTCTATAAATCTTGGCGTCACAGGTCAGTTAGCTTCCAGTTGGAATGTGTATTTAGCCAGAGGACAGTGACTTACTCTGTTGTGAGTCGTTCTCTTCTCTTTTCCCAGGGTGAGGTAGGAAGTGGGGCAGTGAAGTGTGAAGAAAAAAAATCACTTTTTGGGGTAGACACCTGTCTCATGCTTGTAATCCCAGCACTTTGGGAGGCCGAGGCGGGTGGGTCACCTGAGGTCCAGAGTTCAAAAGCAGCCTGACCAACATGGAGAAAACCTGTTTCTACTAAAAATGCACAATTTCCCGGGCATGGTAGCACATGCCTATAATTCCAGCTGCCTGGGAGGCTGAGGCAGGAGAATCGGTTGAACCTGGGAAGGGGAGGTTTTGGTGAGCCGAGGTCACACCATTGCACTCCAGGCTGGGCAACAAGAGTGAAACTTTCTCTCAACAAACAAAACAAAAGAAAACAAAAATTACTTTCTGTGATTATATAATACTTCTAATTTAATTAATTCATATTTTGCGTCGGGGTGTGGTTCTGTGGCTCAGGCTGGAGTCCAGTGGGGTGGTCTCTTCTAACTGCAGCCCCAACCTGGTAGGCTCAAGTGATCCTCCTAAGTCAGCTTCCCGAGTAGGTGAAACCGCAGGCATGAGCCACCAAGCCTGACTAGTTTGTGTGTGTGTGTGTGTGTTGTTTTTTTTTTCCGAAATGGGGTATCACTGTTTCCCAGGCTGGTCTCAATATTTTGAGCTGAAAGCATCCTCCTGTCTTGGCCTCTCAAAGTACTTGGATTGCAGTTGGGATTACAGGGATGAGCCACCGCACCTGGCCTATATAGTTTTTTTTTTTTTTGAGATGGAGATTTGCTCCTGTTGCCCAGGGTGGACTGCGGTGGCACGATCTCGACTCACCGCAGCCTTCACCTCCTGGGTTCAGGCAGTTCTCCTGCCTCAGCCTCCCGAGTATCTGAGACCACAGGCACGCACCACCACACCCAGCTAATTTTTGTATTTTTAGTAGAGACAGGGTTTCACCATGTTGACCAGGATGGTCTCGATCTCTTGACCTCGTGATCCACCCGCCTTGGCCTCCCAAAGTGCTGGGATTACAGGCGTGAGCCACTGCGCCCGGCCCTAAAAATTTCTTTTTTACTACATAATCACTTCTGAAAGACGCCTTTGTGGCTTCCTGTAAACAAATCACATCCTTTACTTCTGTACGTTTATGTTCCAGTTATTTTCCTGTTGACCCCAGAATTAGCTGGTTAACTAGTTAGTTCGTTTACTTTTTTAAACAGAGTCTTGCTTGGTCACCCAGGCTGGAGTGCAGTGGCACAACCTCCTATTACTGCAGCCTCCACCTCCCGGGTTCAAGCTGTTCTGTCTCATTCGTCTAAGTAGCTGGGATTATTGGCACAAACCACCATGCCTGGCTAATTTTTATATTTTTAGGTTTCACCATGTGGGCAAGACTAGTCTCAAACTCGTGATCTGCCCACCTCGGCCTCCCAAAGTGCTGCGATTACAGGCATTAGCCACTGTGCCCATCCTTAATTTTTTTTTTTTTGAGATGGAGTTTCGCTCTTGTTACCCAGACTGGAGTGCAATGGCGTGATCTCGGCTCACCGCAACCTCCGCCTCCTCGGTTCAGGCAATTCTCCTGCCTCAGCCTCCTGAGTAGCTGGGATTACAGGCACACGCCACCATGCCCAGCTAATTTTTTGTATTTTTAGTAGAGACGGGGTTTCACCATGTTGACCAGGATGGTCTTGATCTCTTGACCTCGTGATCCACCTGCCTCCGCCTCCCAAACTGCTAAGATTACAGGCTTAAGCCACCGTACCCGGCCTAGATATTTTGAAAAACAATTTAGGCCAGGCGCGGTGGCTCACACCTGTAATCCCAGCACTTTGGGAGGCTGATGGGGGTGGTTACTTGACGACAGGAGTTTTGAGACCTGTCTGACCAACATGGTGAAACCCCATCTCAAAAAAAACTTAAAAAAAAATTAAAAATAGTTTCTAACCCATGCTGTGGTTTATGCCTGTAATCCCAACACTTTGGGGGGCTAAGGCGTGTGGATCAGGAGGTCAGGAGTTCGAGACCAGCCTTGCCAACATGGTGAAACCGCGTCTCTACTAAAAATACAAAATTAGCTCAGCATGGTGGGGGGTGCCTATAATCCCAGTTACTCAGGAGGCTGAGGCAGGAGAATTGCATGAACCGGGATTCAAGAGGCAGAGGTTGCAGTGAGCCAAGATCGAGCCACTACACTCCAGCCTAGGCTACAGAGCCAGACTCCATCTGCAAAAAAAAAAAATTTCTGTTTGAAGGTAGTTGTGTCTGGTTTAGATCAAGGTCTGCATGCTTTCTGGTCTTTATCATTTATTGGAAACCTTTGGTACCTAATACTTAAGTTTGATTGTTTCAGTGTGTACTTGGTAAAGATGTCAGTGACCTTTGACCTTAACATCAAAGCCTGGTTTAGCTAGTCTATTTTTCAGTTTTCTTTTATTTTTTATTT